AGCAGAACATCAGCAGTCATAAGTTCTTAGCTCCGTACTCCGTGTCACCGTGTCATTCAGACACAGCCAGTTACCACTCCTTGGCCTAAGCTGGGGAAGGAGACTGGGGGTTGAGAAGAGGTGCTGGCCAGGGGAGATTCAGGGGCTTCTGGTGGGGATGGATTAGTGGGGTTGAGAATCTAAGCCAGAATTTGGGACCTCGGTAGCTATGAGATCTTGAGCAAGCATCTCTACCTCTGTGAGCCTCAGGTTTCTCAGCCAAAAAGTGGGAAATTCTACCAATACTTTGACAGCCCCACTTAGGAAAAAAACAGTCCGGTTTGGAGTTAGATTTTGGCGTTAGATTTTGTTTCAAACCCTGAATCTCCCACTGACTGGCTGTGTGGTTTGGAGCCAGCGATTTGACATCTCTGAGCAGATTTCAGATCCTGAATCTGTAAAATAGGTTGTTGTGGGGATTTAGTGAGGTGACTGAACTGGAAGCACTTTGGAAAATGTGAGGTTTTACAAATGATGCTGGTTTTTAGCACTTTCCTGGAATGGGGGCTCTGAGATGGGGAGGGAAATGGCTACAGGAAACTGGCACCCCCTCAACCTTTCCCCTGAACCCAAGCACATGAGTTCTCATTCTGCATCCTATGCACCCACCAAATGGGTTTCTCCAAGCCTGGTACCCCACTCCTTTCCACCTTGCCGGAGGACCTGAGGCGCCTTCCCTCTTCCCACCTTGTTCTAGTTGCAAGCTTCAGAGGATGGCCTGAGTTGCCATTCTTCATCCTGGAGGCTCCAGCTGCAGCCTCAATCTTCCAGCTGCAGCTTCAATCTTCTGCCCCGAGGGAATCTGTTGGATGATTTGGGTTGATCCTTGGGAGGCAGGAGAGCTAGTTCCAAGGCCTGTGACCAAAACGTTTCAGTCACTCTGAAGTTCCAGAACCCCATCTTTCTTGAACCAAGCCTGCTCTGGTGCCCAAAGGGAAGGAGTGTCAGGGATGGGGGTCCACAGGAGACTTTTCCTGTGGTCCAGCTTTGTCTGTTATGCTGCTGGTCTGGCACCCACAGCACTGCCCTGTCCTCCTCCTGTCTCTGGCCTCAGATACTGACAATATCGGGAGACAGTTGGAGGAGGGGCGAGGGCTGTGGAGCAAGAGAAGCTGACAGGAGGCGGGGACTCTGGGGGGCTGAGGGCTATAAAGCGGCCCAGCCGAGGGCAGGGGCCCATCCAGCCTGAGGCAGGTGCTTGTTTGGTCTAGTACCCATTTACTCTGGACTCCAGGTAAGCGGGCTCAGCCTGCCTGGGGCTCTGGGGGCCTCCCCCAGGCTGGGGCCTCGGATGGAGAGGAGTTGGTGCTTCGCAGGGCCAGGGGCCTTGGGGGGCCTAAGGTCCTGCTTGGGTCTTGCTTTCTGCATCTGGACAGACCTGTCACGCTAGAAGACAGCACATATATGTGCACACTTGTGACTGTGTGTGGACAACCGGAATGTGTGACTGTGACCTTGTGAGTGACAGGGGTCCCTGTGTGAGTGCCTTTGCCGGTCTGTGCAGGACGACATGGGCAATAGCATCTTCTCCAGGACCCATATCTGTGTCTCTATTGCAGGTTGGAGGGCCAGACCCACAAGGTCATGGATTTCTGTCCTTGGCTTCCCGAGTTCATTCTGTGTCCCCCACCCTGTGGGTGACCTGGCATGGCCTTATTCCCACTAGCTGCTGCCTCCTTGGAGCCTGAGGCCCTGGATGTCATGAGTCCCATGTGTCCAGGACTCATGTCCCCATTTTCTCTGCTATGCTTTTCTAACTTGCAAGGCGCTGGCTTCCTGGGCTGCTCACAGGACAGGCTGTCCGCGCCTTCAGAGCAGTGTCTAGGAGGTGGAGTGGTCAGCTTGGAGTGGCCCTTTGCTCTGCCCCTTTGTCCCCAGGCTTGGAGAAATGGATGATGGGCTAAGAGGCTGGGTAGATGGACCCTGCTTCCTGGGCACGGGAAATCTGCAGCCCGGGCTCTCCACCTCCCCTCTGCTTGCTCCTCAGATGACTGCCACACGCCTCTGCCTTTCCCTGCTGCTCCTGTCCACCTGTGTGGCTCTGTTACTACAGCCACTGCTGGGTGCCCAGGGAGCCCCGCTGGAGCCAGTGTACCCAGGGGACAATGCCACGCCAGAGCAGATGGCCCAGTATGCGGCTGATCTCCGTAGATACATCAACATGCTGACCAGACCTAGGTGTGTGCCACAGTCGGGGAGAGAGATCCAGCCCCTGGGACCCTGAGCCCACTCCACATTCCTGGCCACACCCTATCCCCAGCCCCAGCCCCTTCCAGGCCTGCTCTTGGGAAAACAGGGCATCTGTGCTGAACAGGCCTAGGCCAATGTGCCCTGGGAGACATGGTGCCTACAGGCAGATATGAAACGGGTGGGCTGGCACCTGGGCACAGTGCTTGCCCCTGCTGCCTCTTCCCTCCCAGGTATGGGAAAAGATACAAAGAGGACACGCTGGCCTTCTCGGAGTGGGGGTCCCCGCATGCTGCTGCCCCCAGGTGAGTTTGACTCCCTGCCCTGTCTGTCCAACTCCCAAGGGCTGAAATAGGGGTGGTGGGACCGAATGAGAGTTTGGAAAGGTGTAGTGGGGGGTGGAAGAGGGAGAACAGGAGCCCAGAGCCAGCCTGAGGCCTCCTGAGGGCACGAGGCCTACCGCCTACACTGCCATGTTCTGCCCTGTCCTCACAGAGAGCTCAGCCCGCTGGACTTGTAATGCTATCTTCTGTCTCCTATGACTCCATGAGCAGTGCCAGCCCAGCTCTCCCTTCTGCACCCTTGGCTCTGGCCAAAGCTTGCTCCCTGCTCCCGCACAGGCTCAATAAAGCAAGTCAAAGCCACAGCCTGTCCTGTGTCTCTGTGGACCCCTGGTGGGGGCAGCAGGAAGCGCCAAATGCATGGGAGAGAAAGAGGAGGGCAGGGCAGTGAAAAAGGGGATCATCCAGAACATTGGTGGGGTCATCAGAGTCGCTCAGCTCATCCTCTCCATTTCACAGAGGGACAAGTGGTGGCCAGAGGAAGGCAGGGACTCCACTGAGCAGATGGTCCCGCATGGTCCTTCGGCAAGTCTGTGAAGTGGCAGTCTTGAATCTTCCCAGTTCAGCACCCATAGACCTTCCCGACATGGCCCGATGACAGCCCTTCCCCAAGTGCGCCCGTCACCAGTGCCTTACTGCAGCCTAGGCAGCAGAAGCACCAAAAATTATACTAAAGCATCCTTGGCATGGGGGCAGGCGCACAGCCCAGCCTGGAAGAACGATTCTGGTGCTACAGCAGTCATGGCTGCATCCAGGGCCCTGAGCTGCCATCCAGAAGTTTGGAGAGAATGGGCTGCCCCGCGAGGTAGTGAAGTCCTGGGCACAGGAGGTATTCAAGCTGCTGTGGAAGGGGAGGAGGCTAGATTAACTGAGAGTTCCAGCCAATCGAATCGAATCTGTAGATTGCACACTCCAGCCCTGTGAGGGCGAGGACCTGGATCCTGCCCCAGGGAGGACTGCCCAGAGTCCCAGAGCACCCATCTCTTCCTGGCCCTTCTCAGCCACCCTGAATAGGTGGGGACAGTGCGCGCATGCATGCGTGTGTACGTGTGTGTGTAAAGGGGAGAAGTGAGGGAACTAGATGTGTCCGGTTCCTAGAATGGCTTCTCCTGCCTCCCCCACACGCTTGGCCTGAAGGGATGGGGTTATGGGTTTGGAGGATGAGGGGTCCGCTTTTCTGGGCTTAGCACCTTGCACAGAAATGGAAATAGCACCACAATTGTGTTTCTCCTCAAGTCCTACTCCATCTGATGTGTGCAAATGACCTGGAAGTAGAACCAGATCCTAAAAGACAACTTCTAGAGGATGCAGCTGCTTGGCTCAGATTAATTTTTTGTTTTTGGAGACAGGGTCTTGCTCTGTCACCCAGGCTGGAGTATAGTGGCATGATCACAGCTCACCATAGCCCTGACCTCCTGGCCTCAAGTGATCCTTCTGTCTCAGCCTCCCAAGTAGCTGGAACTATAGGCACATGCCACCACACCTAGCTAATTTTATTTTTGTAGAGACAGGGTCTTGCTATGTTGTCCAGTGTGGTCTCAAACTCCTGGGTTCAAGCGATCTGCTCACCTTGGCCTCCCAAAATGCTGGGATTGCAGGTGTGAGCCACTGTGCCCGGCCTCTGGTTGATTCTTAAATCTAAGGGATGTCTGGATAGAGAGAGGATTTTGCAAGAGAACAGTTTGGGTCTGGGAGAGGGAGTCTGAAGTCCCAGCATTTTCTCTGGCAGCTTAAGGGGATGGGTGGTGAATGGGGAGAGGAGTGGATACTTCTTAGGGCCAGGGGTTCACACCCTGGAGACATACCTGGATGTGAGGGTAGGATCAGGGCAGGGGGCTCTTCCCCCACCAGGTCTCTCTGATGGCCATGGGAGCCCCCAGAAGAGAGAGCTACCCTCACACCCAGCTTCTCAGGGACAGGCCCTGGCCAGGCTCCACCCTTTCTCCTGCTCTGCTCACCCCAGAAGGACTTAGAAGTCCAAGAGGCAAAGGCGGCCCCTTATACTCTGCATGCTGAGGGGCAAAGGCACCTCTTCTTGTTCCTGTGCCAACTCTGACAGCCCACGCTGGGTTGTTCGGTAGAAACTTGAGCCAGGTGGGAGTTGGGGTGTGTCTAGCTGAAGCCCCTCCTTTGAGGTTTCTTCTCTCACCTCTGCTCTCCCTCTGGGTTAGAGCCCCCACACTGGTGCCATCTGTGCAGGACTACCGGGGCAGTAAGTGTCTTCTCCAGGACCTGTATCTGTGTCTCTACCACAGGGTGGAGGGCCAGACCCACAAGGCCATGTATGGGTGATGTGGAGGAAGGTGGATGGGTTACCAGAGGAGGACCCCCAACAGCTGAGGTCTTTTTCTCCCACAGCAGAAACTCCAGAGTCCCCCTTCCCCTCCAATGGACTGGTCCCTCCCTGACCCCAGGCCCACAGAAGTCACTGAAGCAACAGAAATTTGTCTTTATTGTTTCCACTGAGGGGATGAGGAGGGGTTGAGGCCCCTCTCAATATAAAGGGGTTGGTGGGAGAGAGGCGTCTGGAGGCCAAGGCCCAGCCTGGAGAACGAAGCTCCCCCGCCGGGGCGCTGTGTCTCCCCGAATGCCCGCCCCCAGGAGCTTCCTCTCGCTATCACCCAAGCTTCCCCCAGTCCCGAGGCCCCTGGCTCGGTGCCGAGCGTCCAGGCTGTCCTACCTGGGGCCCCGGGAGGAGGTCGGTGGTCGGGGTTCCGAGGTATTCAGCCACTGGGGGTTCGTGGTGGTCCATGGAGGGTATTTCGTGCCTTTCGATGGGGAGGCGTTCGTGGCGTTCGCAGTTTTCTTGTGGTTTTTAGATTTCTTCGGGCTGGGAACAAGTCTTTGCAGTCATGAGGCTGCTCCCTGAGCCCAGCTCGGGCTGCGATGTGCGTGGGGGTGCCTGGTGGGGTCCGTGGCCCCCCCCGCGCCCCCCCACCCCTCCGCCTCCCGCTTTCCTCCCTACCTCACACCCTCTGCCGGCCCACCTGCTGTTGAAGAGCTTCCCCATGTACTTCTTGAAGGAGCCTAAGTTCAGCCAACTGGCGGCCCTGGGCTGTGGCACTTGCAGCTCCTCGCCCAGGGCACCCTCGGGCTGCAGCAGCAGCGACACAAGGCCCACTATGGCCAGAGCGAATACGCAACGCAGAGCCGGCGTCTGGAGGGGGCGGGGCAGACAGAGCCGCGGGCGGTCAGGTGATGCGGGGACTGAGGTCAGCGCGGCGCCCGGACCGGAGCTTGCAGGTGTGCCGCGCGGTGGGCAGGCTGGGGTGCAGGGGTGCTCAGACCGAAGGACGTGTCTATTTCTGGGACACACACCAGTGCACAGACGCCATAAGGAACATCCTGGTGCCCGGAGCAATGATGCACACCTGGACACGCCCTGTGATGCAGGCAGAGCATCGAGGTGCTGTGGCTCACGCCTGGAATCCCAGCACTTTGGGAAGCCGAGGCGGGCGGATCACCTGAGGTCAGGAGTTCAAGACCAGCCTGGCCAACATGGCGAAATCCTGTCTTTACTAAAAATGCAAAAATTAGCCAGGCGTGGTGGTGGGCGCCTGTAATCCCAGCTACTCGGGGGGCTGAGGCAGGAGAATTGCTGAAACCTGGGAGGTGGAGGTTTTAGTGAGCTGAGATTAGGCCACTGTACTCCAGTCTGCCCAACAGAGCCAGACTTCCTCTAAAAAAAAAACCAGAAAAGAAAAAGAAAAAAAAAAAAATGAACGGGGAGACACACCCTAAGGTGGACGCATGAGGATGGCATAAAGCCATTGGTCAGCTCCCTAACCTCACCGACCTCTCTCCCACAAACTCCTTGCTTGTTCCCCTCTTTTCTCCCTGCTGTTCCTGCAAAATGACAGTCACTCTGTTCTCTGCCTGGAAGACTCTTCCTCCAAACATCCTCATGGGCCAGCTCTGTCTCCCCTTGTAAGCATTAGCTCAAAATCCACCTTTTAAATGGGTCCTACCCTGCACCCCTATTTAAAATTGCAACCCAGTCGGGCGCAGTGGGATTACATGCCTGTAATCTCAGCACTTTGGGAGGCCAAGGTGGGAGGACTGCTTGAGCCCATGAGTTCGAGACTAGCTTGGGCAAAAGACAGACAGCCCGTCTCTACAATTTAAAAAGTAAATAAATAACATAATATTGCAACCCAACCCCTCATCTTTCTGTATCTTTTTCTTGCTTTATTTTTGCACTGTTTTTTATTTTATTTTATTTTATTTTATTTTTTTTTTAAGACAAGGCCTCCTTTTGCTTTCCAGGCTGGAATATAGTGTCGGGATCATAGCTCACTACAGCATCAAACTCCTGGGCTCAGGCCATCCTTTTGCTTTGGCCTCCCAAGTAGCTGGGTCTACAGGTGCATACAACCATGCCCAGCTAAATTTTAATTTTTTGTAGAGATGGAGTCTTGCTATGTAGCTCAGGCTGATCTCAAACTCCTGGCCTCATGAGATCCTCCCGCCTCACCTCCCAGAGTTCTGGGATTACAGGTATGAGCTGCCACACCCGGCCTGCATTCTAACTTACTATATTCTGTACTTACTATATTTGTTGTCTGAGTCCCTTCCCAGCAGCATATCCTCCCTCAATGTAAGCATCATTAATTACAGCTGGGCTCTTCGCCTATTTTGTCTATTGATGGATTACAAGCACCTAGAACAGTGCCTGGCACTTAGTAGATACTCAATAGTACATATTAAATGAATGACTAACAGTTACACAGAGGAAAGCCAGTCTGAGGATTCACACACCCAATGCACAGAGAATTTTGTGCCTGCAACACACAATGATTCACAGACTATGGTGCCCATAAACATGATGCACACCCCCAGAGCTCCTAAGCCCCTCAGCCCTCTTTTAACCAGGAACTCCCCTCATCACCATCACCCCAAGCAGGAATAAGAAGCCGTAGTAGCTATCCTGGCCCTCAGAATGGCAGACGAGGCTGCCTTGGCCTATCTACTTCATGCCCTTAGTGGGCCTGAGGAGGGGCCCTTGGTGCCAGGCCCCATCCCCAAGCTCCTAGAGAATACAGCTGATGCGGGCCCAGACTTGGCCACCAGACATTACCATGGTGCTGGGCAGGTGCAGAGGAACTCAGCAGAGCGTCACTGGCCCGGACCTGAGGCCCTTTATATTCCTAAGCATCCATGCCCCCTTTTCCTCTGAGGCTCCACTCCCAGCATAGTCGTCTTTTCCTCCCTGTGTCATGACCTGAAAATCCAGAACAGATAGAAGGTGGGGGTGGAAGCACATGGGCTACCAGCTGTTCTGACCAGGTCACAGTCCCTGCCGGGGGCCCAGAAGTGTGGGTGGCAGAGGCAGGGAGGCCTGGGGTGTCAGGTAACTTTTTGCTCTGGGGTTGAGAGGGGACTGTGCTTTTCCCAGGGGTTACTGTCAGAGTTTGGAAGGGGGTTATGCTGAGACCAGATACCCCTCCCCATCTGGCTAGATCCAAGGTACCTTTGCCTCCTTCCCCTGCAGGGCTGCTTTGGGGTCCCAGCATCCCTATTCCCTGCCCCTAGGCCTGCTGCCATGGGGAGGGGGTGGAGTTGCAGTTTCTGGTTTCAGGATTGCAGGCCCCGCTGCACAGCCTGATTTTCTCAGCCTGCCTGACCATTTTGGAGCCCCTGAGGCATGACCTGCTGAGCCTTCTGGAGGGCGGTGGGTCTTGGCTGCTTGGATAATGGGCTTAGGCCTTGGCTGCCTCAGGCCACAGAGCCTCAGCTGTGTGGCCTGTCAGGAACCCTCTACCTCCTCAATATTGCTGCTTTTCTGGGGCAAGTTGTAAAATGTGTGCCAATTCTTCGTGCCTACCCCAACCCCAGAAGGGGCACAGTAGGAAGAGCAGGGACTTCTGGATGAGAATCCTGACTTCACTCCCTCCTGACTGTGTGACCTTGATTAGGGGACATTATCTCCCCTGAGCCTCCACATCCTCATCTGTGAAATGGAGCTGGTTGCATCCTGGCATAGGACTGTTGTGAAGATGGAGTTGGGTGATATAGCTTAGCCTCTGGGCAGCTCCCGGCACATGCTAGGTGATTAACAGGCGTGAGCCCCTCCACTCATCGAAGAACCCCCTCCAACCTTTTTTTTTTGGAGATGGAGTCTCACCCTATCGCCCAGACTGGAGTGCAATAGTGCGATCTCGGCTCACTGCAGCCCCTGCCACGCAGGTTCAAGCGATTCTCCTGCCTCAGCCTCCTGAGTAGCTGGGATTACAGGTGCCTGCCACCGTGCCCTACTAATTTTTGTATTTTTAGTAGAGATGGGATTTCACCATCTTGGCCAGGCTGGTCTTGAACTCCTGACCTCGTGATCCACCCACCTCGGCCTCCCAAAGTGCTGGGATTACAGGTGTGAGCCACCATACCTGGCCCTAAAAGAACCCCTTCCTCCCATCTCTACTTGTCCCAAAAGTGTCTCATCTTCTGGCCTCTTCTTATTAAAACTTGCCCTTGGCCAGGCATGGTGGCTCATGCCTGTAATTCCAGCACTTTGGGAGGCTGAGGTGGGAGGATCACTTGAACCCAAAAGTTTGAGTATGCCTGTGGTCCCAGGTATTGGGGAGGCTGAGGTGGGAGGATTGCTTGATCCTGGGAAATTTAGGCTGCAGTGAGCCAGGATCGTGCCACTGCACTCCAGCCTGGGTGACAGAGCAAGACCCTGTCTGAAAACAACAGCAAACAAATATACAAACCAACCCTGCTCTGAGTGGGGGTGAGAAATTCAATGTCAATGTCACTGAAGTTTATGGGATGACTCAGTAGCCAAGTGAGACCAGGACCGCATTTCTATGGAGGCAAGAATCTCTAGAAAAAGAAATGAGAGTCCCGTGATAAATTTCCATAGTACAGGTGGGAGGAGATATCTGGGGATCAGTGTACCCTAAATACCAGCACACAGGCTATTCCTTATCCCCATTAGTCACAGCCCAGTGCTGAAGAGCTCAAGAGCTCCCCTCCCCCAAGAGCTCAAACCATGTGTCCCTTGCAGCCTTGGCTGCCCATACAAACCCAGACTCTTCTGCAGGCACTGGAGGCTCTCAGGCCCTAGCTCTTCCAGACTCCCTTACTCATTCCAGGAACTGTAGAGGGATACGGGGAGGGAGGAGAAGGGGAAGAGAGGAAAGGAAGCAGCTCAGAGGCTGCCTGCTGCTCTCTGAGGGCAGGAGGTGGCAGCCCTGCAATGGGCAGGATGAGTGAATGTGGCTTGAGGACACAGCTCCGGGTGGGTCTCCCTGTCAACTGCCTCTTAAACTCTGACTGCAAGTTCCCACTTAAATGGAACTTCCAAATTCACTGTGGAGTATGTGCCCAAATTCCCAGAGTGCAGCAGGCCAGGGGCTATGGACTCCACTTTTCAGAGAAGAACACTGAGATGCAAAGAGAAGCTACTCAGACACCTGGTGCCGGCACAGCTGGGGCTAAACTCGCCATTTTGACTCCAAGTCAGTGTGTGACCATTTGGACCAGCCTATTTCTGAGGCCCCTGAGATAAGCCCTGTGGGCTTCCTGTGAGGCATGATGGTTCTCAAATATCATTCTCTGCTACCCACTGTGGAATAGACCCAATGATAGAGTGACCTTGAGTCTCCTGGCTGACTTGCCCCAGACTGACCATCCCACCCACTCCGGGACTACTGCTCTCCTCTCTGCTGGGTGTGGCCCAAAGCTGGCCTCCCACCGGCTCACTACTTCCTACCTGCCCTCCAGTGCATCTGGGTGCTGGTCACGTCCCATAAGAGACACAGAGAGAGGCCATTAGCTCGGATGCTGACCGTGGAGAGCAGCTGGCCTAGGAGGGGCATGGCTGCCCTGTACAGCATCACTGCATTTTTTCTTTTTTAAATGTCCCATCAAAGCCCTTTCTCCTTGGTGACCTGTGTTCTCCCTTCTAGACTGCATGCTTCCTGAGGGCAGCTGAGGTCTTGTTCAGCTCTGAACCTCCAGCATCTAGCACAGTGCCTGGCTCACTGTGGGCCTCCATGGATGCTTAGTGGGTGGGTGGAAGTGGGAGGGAGGCAGGAAGAAGGGAGAGAGGTAAAACGAGAGTGGAAGGGAGGGAGGGACTGATGGATCAATGGATGTGATGAACAAAGGGACAGATAAAGGA